CCAAATAAAAATGTACACTTTGACTTATTTGATTATATTTGGTATTTGATTATACCAAATATATTCCTATTTAGTATATACATTAAATACTTATTAAAATATTTATTTGTTTTATTTGTCAAAGTTAAGTATAGATTTGTTTATATTATCAAATCATAAAAAAATATTAAATCCATATTGTTAAAAAAAATCATATAATTTTATAACAATTCTATTACACTATTTAACAATATTCCTTTTTTATTATATAATAAAATAATAATTAAATATTATATGGTGAACAACAATAAGTAAAACTGTTACTTTCTCTTATATCAAGGGATAAATTTACATGCTAAAATTAAATTTTTATTAGTATAAATATTTTAGTGAGATAATATATTAATTATTTTACAAGCTAGCCCTATGCTCATATTTAATGTTTAAAAAGATGTAGAAAAAAACTTATAATAACTCTATTGTTTTTTAGACTTAAATGTTGATTAAAAGAGGTAAAAATTCCTAACTTTTTAGACTTAAACGTTGATTAACACCATAGATTGAGAGTCTATATTTAGTAAAATTCCTAATTGTAATAAAAAAAATTAATTTTTGCTATATTTTAGAATATTTTTAAATTCATTATAAAAAAAAGAAAAAAAAAAACTACAATGATAAAAGCAAGTCAGCTATATATCGATTTGTTGTACTCTTCAAATCACATTCACAATTTGGCTACAAGGAAAGGAAACTCATTGATTAAAATATTATTTTGTCAGTAGTCTTAATGTACAAGAGACTTTAAGACTCCACTTGAATATTATAAAACTTTTATTGAACATTGTACAATTTTCTTGCGTATTATAAACTTTTATTGAATATTGCATCTTATAATATAATATTCCCCAAATAAATATATCTCGTGCTTCGCACAGGTCACGTACTATATATATCCCGTACATTTTTCTTTATTCATGAATATAATTATAAACCTGGATAAATAGCCTTAAAATTGTCTCGTGCATCGCACGGGCTCTGTACTAGTTTAATTAGTTAGCATCTCTTAAAAAGTTCTATTGGAATGTAGAGACCAAAAAAGAAAGCAATTAATTGCGCATTAAAGCCACACAAATCTTCTTGATATAAATGAAATATTATCTAGATGGAATTAAAATCTCCAGTGATTGTGAAATTAAATCCAGTTACATATATATGGAAATAAAAACAAAGTCTCGTTTAAAAGGCAAAGAAAGAATATTGAATCGTTGGCCAGGTAATGTATTCATAAATAACTAGTGTGTACCTGGTGCGATTTACGGGAACAATATTAAATTAACAATATTATAAATAGACCTCGAGTTTGAGTGGAAACTACTATTGATCCTATTTAAAAAGAGAAACAAAAAAAAATTATATATTAAAGAGAAGGATAAACAATACTTAATAATTATAAATTAAAGATTCGTGTCAAACAATGTAAAATTATTTTGTATAAGAGAATATAAAAAAATTTAATTACATACCATTTCAAAATTATTATTATACTTTTTTGTATGGTTAACTTATAATATTTGTAAAAATATTAGTAATTAGACCGATGAAAATTAGCTTCTTAAAGTAGATAATGGATTTCTAGTAGTAATTATGAATTGGTTTCTATTTTATTTTATTTTTTCTTTTTAAAGATAATGGATTTCTAGTAGTAATTATGAATTGGTTTATTATTTATTTTATTTTTTCAAATCTGTATAGATAATGGATGAGATTTTTTAAACACACGTATGCAATGAGAATTTGTAACAGAAGAGATAAGCTCGTGTAGATTTATACTAAAAATAGGAAAAAGAAAAATAAATATTTATTGTCAAACAACGGTTTTGATAAACTAAAAACCAGGAAAAAATAGAAACAAATCTTTACACAATTAATGAGCCGATTTTTTTGCCTATTCAGATTTGTCCAACAATTACTATATGTAGGATATATTTAATGATTTTGACAGGAAAAAGTTTCTAAATTTATAAAAAGGTTATTCTTTTTATATAATGATAGATTTTACACATATTAAAATAGCACGGTTAGAACAAGGCAGACCCTATAAACAATTGAATTTGTAGCTCTATTGTTATGGGTTTTCGTTCTCAGTTTCTTAGATGGGTGTGGGTTTGTATTTCTTCCTCTTCTTTTTCTTTTAATTTGGATGGGCAGTCTAAAGGTTTTTTTCAGCTTTCTAGGGAACTTAGACAAGGGGTTCTTTTATTTCCTTATTTATTCATAATTGTTTCTGAAGCTTTTTCCAATCTCATTAATCAAGCATGTCTTTCTTCTTCTTTCCACGGGTTGAAAATCAATAAATATGCCCCCCCTATTACTCATCTTTTTTTTTTGCAGATGATTCCCTTATCTTTTGTAAAGCCTCTTCTCAGTATATATGCTATTTTTTAACCTTCTTAATAGATTTTGTGTTGTCTCTGGACAATAAGTAAATATTAATAAGTCTAGTATCCTTTTTTCTAAGAACACTCCTGCTTCTCTTAAATCTGAAATCTGTCAGATGCTTAGGGGTATTTCTGTGGTAAGCTCCTCAAAGTATTTTGGACTCCCCCTTGGAATTAGAATTTCTAAAAGAGATACTTTCAAATTTGTGAGTGATTGTGTCATTTCTAGAATTAAAAACAGGAAAAATAAATTTTTTAGTGAAGCAGGAAAGGAAGTTTTGATTAAAACTGTGCTTCATGCTCTTCCTGTTTATGTTATGTCCTGCTTTAGACTTCCTATGAGTATTTGTGCTGATATCTGCAAAGTTGTGGCTAACTTTTGGTGGGGGCAGAATGAAGAGGGAAAAAACAGGATCCACTGGGCCAAATGGGATTTTCTTTCCCAACCAAAAGAAGATGGGGGCTGGGTTTCAGAAACTTAATTGTTTTTAATGAAGCTCGTCTGGTTAAGCAGTTATGGAGAGTTCTAACTCAGCCCAAGCTTCTCATGAGCCAACTTATTAAAGGAAAATATTTTCATAACCAGAACATTTTTGACAACTCTTTGAAAAGCTCTGATTCTTGGTTATGGAAATCTTTGCTAGGGGCTAGAAAGTCTTTAAAATTGGGGTTGTGGTACCAAGTAGGCAATGACAGATCTATCTTTATTTGGACTTCTCCATGGATTCCAGGAGCTACTGATTTCATTCCTAAATGCTGCTCTGTTTCTGATAAGAGAAATCTTGTACTTGTTTCAGACTTAATGACTGCAGGGGGCACTCAATGGGATGAAGACATCATATGGCAGACCTTTAGGCCAACTGAGGCTCACAGCATACTCAGAATTCCAATTAGCAGAAGTGGACTCAAAGATAAGCTGGTGTGGCACCAGAATCCTAAGGGCCTTTGCAAAGTTAAGGAAGTGTATAATACTATTCTATCCAGCCAGAATCATAACCATTCCCTTACTACTGCCAATGCTGAATCAAGTGGGGGGCAAGATAGAAAGAGAAAGGTATGGTAGACTACTTGGCATCTCCCTGTTCAAAATAAAATCAAAAATTTTGTGTGGAGATGTTGGTTTGGTTTTCTGAGTTATAAGGTTAAATTAAAATCCAAAGGGCACTGTGTTGATGCTATATGTGAACTGTGTGGTGAATATGAGGAGTCCCTAGAGCATATTCTTTTTCTTTGCACTAAAGCCAAAACAGTCTAGAAACTTGCTGGTTTACATTGGAACTACTTACCTGAAGAGAATGTAACTTTTCAATGCTGGTAGGAAAACTTGTGTCTGATGAAAGGAGCTGAGTTGTGGGAAGACAAAATTTACTTATCCACCTACATCATATGGTGGCTTTGGAAAACTCATAGTTCTTGGGTATTTCAAAAAACAAACACCTCTGAGATTCAAATTGTTCTGCAAGCTACAGCCGCAAGGCTTGAGTTCTCTGCCCTGGACAAAGGAAACTTCTACCTGTGTCTGTTGTTCTTTGGCTAATGGAGTTTCTAGTCAGGAGGTTCTCTAACTGCCATTGAAGATAAAGGAGTAGGGCAATCTTTTGCATTGCCAGTGCTAATTATGCTTCTCTGGATATGTTAAGGATGGGCTTAAACTGTGCTGGGAGCTTGTTCATTTATAGTCTGTTGGTTGTCTCTTTCCATCCTGTCTCTTTGTTTTGTAGTATGTTTGTTGGTTTGTGTGTCTTTCTTTCTTCTGCTTGTTAGGTTCTTTGAGTAGTTTTCTTTGATCTTTAATTTGTTGTTTCTGTTTCTGGCTGCTGGTTGGTCGTTTAGGGATGCATCAGGGATTGATGTCTTCTCCGTTTGTATTTTATGTCTAGCGCGTTGGCTTGTCGAACTCTTTAATTCTGAGTATTATCTATATATTTAATGTTTGATAAAAAAAAAAGCTCTATTGTTATAGTGCTTTTTCTGCATTTCATGGGGAAATATTCATTTTTGTTATCCAAACTATATTCACTTTTCACTTTTAGTTAGACTTACCAAAATGAGTTTGGGCTCACGGGTTGACTTTCCCCGCCCGATAAAAGGGAGGGATAGGTTGAGTTTTTTAGGCCTGCTAAAGAGCAGGCCTACACGAGCTAGCTTGTGCGGGCCGTGGGTTTTGGCCGGGTGGGCTGAGCCCGCCATATTTTTTTTTTCAAACGATAGAGATTCTATAACAGAAAAACACATAATTACAAAGACCTGGCCGATAATAGTCCAACGGACAGTTACACAGTTGAATCCACAGGAAGGACGACCAGGACGGAAGCCTAGAGACCCATAATTCACTCACAACTCACAAACAAACACAGAAACAGACAAAAAAAACTCTCTAAGGGAGAAAAACGGAGAAAAACCTATTCCCAACGGGAGAATAAANACTAAACACACAAAAACTACAAAAAGTAACACTAGATTCATGCCCTTCCCACCGGCTGGATAACCACTTCGCATCACCGGCAAAGCAAAGACAACGACCATAAATCAGAAACTTCATTCAAAACACTTACGCCTAACTAAATCCGGATTACAACACTCTTAACCTCCCAAAGGAGGCTCCACCAGGAGCACCAAGAAGAAATGCAACGACCCCACTTCCCAAACAATCTGGTGGCCGTTGCGGAAAAACGGCCGAAACTGAGACGGACACACGCCGGAGGATCCTGTCAAACCAACACCAGGGGGAAACAAAGATGAGGGAGAAAGTTCACACACAGCAGAGCCGGACACCGCGAGACGATGCACGACGCCACCAAATGGAGTCGCCAAAGAAAACCATAGCCCGCTCCGCTGCCAGCCGTGGTCGCCCATTACATCTGAGGAACTGCCACACACGAAAGAGGAGCCGCAGGGATGCCAACAGGCCATCTTCCATCTTGGTGATGGTCGAAGACGGGCCGGTGGTGAGAAGGCTTCTCAATTGATGAAGAGAAGAGGCAAGGGTTTACGACGATTTGGGGCTTTTCGAAACAAGGGAGAGATAACAGACCACATGTAGGCAAGCTCTATTTTTGTTCTAAGAATAAATATTCCACGGATCTAGAGGCAGAGGAGCCAAACAACTTTCAATCGGACCTGCAGGACTACTGACAATCGGAGGCCAATTATAATTCTCTAACTCTCGCGACCTGCAGGACTACTGACAATTTATAATTAAGTGCGGATTATGGGCGGTTTAGTCATGGTCTATAATGATAAATGAGTAACGATTTTGAAATTAAAACGGAAAACATATGCATGACTGAAATAGAAAATCACACAAAGATTGGCTGATCCAGTTGGGGATCGACAGAAGAGTTTTATGTATATTTATTCTATTGTGCAGTATGTAGATGTTGCTCTATTTTGACTTCAGACTGCTTGTTTTTCTTGGGCCTCGAGGTCGAATTTATGCATGAAAAAGTGAGAGCCATCATGACTAATGGACATCTATGGGCGTAGGAGAGTGTCACTCGTCCTCATGTAAAATCTCATCTTTTGAGGATGAGACTGGTTACGGCGGTCACTTTATCAGTATGATTTGTCGTTTCCTGTTCATTCTACAGGGGGGACCGTCAATCTTTGCGAGGAAGGAATAGGTTGAGTTCAGGATTTTTAGCTTAAGCATAGAGGTCGTCACTTCTGTGCGAGTGTTTGATCGACAATGACTTCGTATCGAGGTTTTCTCAGATTTTTTCCCTTCCTGGTTGGGCAAAGTTATCGATAGGCCTGATCTCATTCTCTATGACTTAATGGGTTGCCCTATAGTAAGTACAATTTAATGTATAATAAGGAGGCCCAAAGGTTTTTAGGTGTAGAATGGATGGACTATACATCTAAAAAGCTTTTTTTGCAGATTTTGGATCCGTGCGGCGAACTCTAGGATTGTCCAAATCTACTCGAGAGGACGTGTCAATTACTTTGGTCATAGGATAAGACTCGGTTCTATGAAAACATTAAATGTGGAGAGAGAATGTCTTCTCACAGACGGGCGCCTTTTCGAACATGGATGTGACGCTTGGGTTTCGTGCCTTTACATGAAGGGATGTAATGATTGGGGATTTTTGAGGGCTATCCCTATAAATAGAAAACCATCTTGGGACTCGAGATTTTCACAGTGTGAGTTTGAACTTTGAGTTTTGAATTTTGTGCAAGCCTAGACTTCTTCACTTTGACGAGTGATTTTTGGGTACCGTTCTTCTTTATTCTTTGCGGCATCATGTTTGATAGTAATGATTATGACATGGATTTGGTGAATGAGGCATTGACAGGCGATCGAGCCGGAAATGTGAGAGAGCCAATCACCGACTTGAGTGATGTTCAGGATATGCAAGTACAAATTGAAAAAGGATCTTGTAGGTCTGACGTTGGCCGGGCACCTGAGGCGGCGACCGGTTGAGGAGCCATCGGACCTCATCAAAATGGACATTTGTTGGTTTGTCGGTACGCTGGGTAATTCAGACATAGTTAACTTGGAAGGAAAAATACAAGATCCATAGGTCGATAAAAATGTTTGCATCATACGAGAGTGAACGGGCTCATTGTCCTTCGGCGGGGTGTGCAGCTGTCCACAAGAAATCCATTATGTCAGGTTTGTGGTTCCTCTTCCCTGAGGTTTTCTCAGGATATTTGTGAAAATGGAGGATCAACGTTACCCAAGCACACCCAAACACGATATATCGTCTATCATGTTTATGCAGAAAGGCTGGTCGACATCGACCGTGGATGAATTGGACTCCATATATATGTAGAAGACATCATAGGCAGGGTCCGGTTTCTTCAATTTGGCTCCACGTGATGACACGTACGCTAAACTGGTAAAAGAGATACTAAAGTCTCGCCATAAGTGGAGACGGGAGTGGTTCGGGGTGTCCAGGTAATGGAAGATTCGTTGATCGCTTGGCATTTCTTTGTAAGTGCCGACCTCTCTTGTGGAGATAATGCATAAGTTTTCGCCGATCCTTACTCAGGATTTGATAATAAGCCAGTCATATTTAATATTCCTCTTGATAATGTAGCGGAAAAGACTGCAATGGTCTTATGCTTGAGATTCAAGGGGAGGTTTGACACATGTAGTGCCCCGTTCGTTTAATAAAAGCAAGTTCAGTTTATTCTCATGCATGCATTTCATCTCATTCAATTGTTAGCTCGACTAATCAAATAAGCTCATTAGTTGTTGCTTAAGAAGAGAATGTCTACTAAAGAAAAGTATTTCTTCAATAATCAAGTTAAAAATTTGGCCTTATGTTCGAAGAGCTATCCGACCATTTTGTGTGATCAAGATCATACCAAAATTAACTCAAGTGTAACTATAGCGCCCCGTTCGATTATTGAATTTTTCGAATATTATTATATTGGCATTATTATTATTATTTGGATTAATTGCCTAAGTGAGAATATTGCTTAATTTATATATATGTATATATATTATTATGTGAAATTTATTGTGTGATATATGTATAGCCGGTTATTTTATTTTAATTTTTCTCGATCGTTGACCGAGTTAACCAAGTATTAAAACTCTTCTATTAAGAGACGTAAAAACTCTCTTCTATAACGTGACTATTTTCTCTCTCTAAGCGAAACCTGTCCCCAAATTTGCGAAACACTTCTTTCAAAAATCCGATCGTTTCGCCTTCCTCCGCGACGGATTAGCTCGGCCAGGGGTCATCTTTGACTGCCTGGCCCATTCCCGGTGCAACGCTTCTTCAATGTGGCCGTGGATTGCTTGGGGTGCGGTGGTCCGATCTGTGGTCGCTGATGGGGTGTCGGTAGGAGGTGCCGACTCGCCCGGCCGTCGTTCGACTGACAATTGGAGGCTATTTCTTCGATTGCCGGCGGTGCTCTGGTTTGCGGTGGCTTGCTCTTCCTTTGGTTCTCCTTCGTGGGTGCTGGGTTATGGCTCTCCGGTGGGGATTTCACCTGTTTGGGTGGATTTTGCCATTGGACTTCAGAAATATGTGGTGGTGTCGATGAGTGGGGCGGGGGGTACGGGAGCCGATGAGTGGGGCGAGGTCCCGGTGGTGCGGCAGTTGGGGTTGGGGTCCCGGGCCACTCACGTTTTTTCTTGGTCGGCTAGTGGTGTTAGGAGGCAGAGGATTGGGTCCTATCGAGCTTGGCTAGTGGTGTTAGACGAGTTTGGTGGGACTGGCGTGGGGTCTGGTTGGGACTCTCTCGGTTAGAGATGGGTCGATTCGGGATTGTCTCAGGGGTTGAGTTCACTTGCTGTATAGGCGTTCGTGCAGTTTCGGTAGCGGTTCTCGGGCTCGAGGTTTTCTTTGTGTCAGTCGGTCACTGTTGGTTGAGTTTAGTTCGGTTCGCCGGGGAAGGGCTCCGTCTTCGTTTATGTTTGGTTATGTTTTGGTTTTTTGATTGTTGTGTTTGTGTTGGTGTGGTCTTTGTGTTTTTGGTTTGTGATTTTGGTTTGGGCCGTTGACCCCTGTTTTACCCGAGTGTAGTCTTTATTATCCTACTGGTAGTTTACACTCGGGTATTACCCTGGTGGGGATTTGATATGTCTTTTTTCGTTAAGTTTTAGTTTAGTGTTGGTATTGTAGTGTGCTGGTCGTTCTAGCTTGGCTAGTTAGTATTCCGTCTAGGTTACATTAGTTGTGTGTGTAACCTTCTATTTCCCGTCTTCGGTCTCGTCTGTGTACATTGTTGTTATTGGCCTTTTTTATGAGTATGTTGATGTCGTTTGAAAAAAAAAAAATTAAAAAATCC